CGCAGAGACAAACAATGTCAAAAAGTAAGTAATAAAAAGTGCAATAAAAATAGAACTTTTCATTGCCACCGACATAACCTTTCATTGAATTTTCGAGACTATGAAATGAACACGTTCGACCACTGAATGGCAGGCTAGCGAGTACTTTTATATATATATAATATAGTGTATGCGGTGTCAACATATAGGAATAATTCATAAATAATTAACGTAGCTGTTGCGCGAACGTGTTTGCTAATTACCAAATTACCGAACTCTTTGCGACATTTCCTCTGAATCATGGCTCCTACGACATGGCAATTACACAACACTCTGTATTTCACTCAATGCCGCATCAAAGTGCGCTAACGTGAAATCACTAGCATGTCAGTTTAACATTAATCGCATGTTACAGCGCAGTATTTTTTTTTTTAGTATTTCCATGTCTTTACATTCAAAAACCGTGTAATCTACCTCAATATTAACAGAGTGAAAATACTATACTATGAGAGTCATAACGGGAATACTGAAGTCGTACTGCTGAGACCTGGAGAAGAAACCGCAACCTCATACCTGTGCAGGCGTTTGTACTGAGGACTTCAGATCTGATTAGATGCATCAGAGACAAAAAAAAAAAAAAAAGAAAAGACAGAGGAGCTCTATCCTGCCCTTTTCTACAGAAACCACACAAGCAGCTTTTCTTCATGAACTAAAAATAAATGCAAGTGATTGTTTGAAGAGCGAAAAGGCAGCAGACCTTGTCACTGTCAGAACTTTCATTGTAATATTGTTACATGTAGCACAGAGGAAATGACACACCAAAAAAAAAAAAGCTTCTGAATTTAAATACATGTTAAAAAGCATGCATTTGTGCAGATGTTAGATTTTCATCAAATGAGTACTGCAGATGTCAACGCTAGCATACAACGGTTTAAAACAAACAATTACAACTGTACATTTCATCATAGTATTGTGACTTGGTTGAAGTAAACAGTACTCATGGTAGATTTTAGGACAGCGGTTCCCAACGTTTTTAGCTTTTGGCTAGTTTTTCATTATGCTTGTTGTACTGTTGAAATTACACCAAGATGGCATCGTTAGATAACCCCAAAACTTGCATGTAGTGGCCACTAGCTGACAATAAGCAGATTGCAGTAAGCTCACAGCCATTTAAGTCTTAAAGCTTCTTAAGTCCTGGATTTTGTCACCTGCGAAAGATCTGGATCAGATGTCAAGGCATATGGAGGAGCCCAGCGATTAGACTGGAACTTAGCTGACTATTTAAAGTCACCATCTACACTAGGACCACATCGCTAAGACTGTTGATTGGTTTCGGGGGTTGTGGCCAATCCACTTAGAAAGCTTAGCAAATCGGAAACTAAATATATCCGAGGTCACATTTACCACGATGCAACTTTAAAAATTTCGAACATAGCTAATGCATTTCTAGTTTGTTTTTGTGCTATCCGAGCCACTGTGACCTAGGGATTTGTTCGTTATGGAGTACAAAATTCGGTGAGGTGATATTATTCCTTCTAAAAATATACACTGAAAGTGATTAAGGAGGACCGAGATGGATCAGAAGACTGAGCTATAAACTACAGCACTTGCCAAAAGAGAATCACCAATACCAGCCATAAACTACAGCACCTGCCAAAAGAGAATCACCAATACCAGCCAAATGTCATCCCCAAACGCCACTCGTAAACTTGAAAACAAATATTAAAAAAGGGACATTGACAATTTTTTGAATTGGTGCAGAAGAGCGTACCTATAAACCCACAGCCAAAACTGTGATAGATGCTTCTAATGCGTGCAGTGACCCGAGCCAATTTACCTTGAAGGAGTGAGATAATCATCCTTTACGCAGCACATTAAATCCTAACACCTCAAGCAGTGGGAAGAAGTCATTTTATACCCTGCAACAGTGTTCAAATCTCATGCGCGTTTAAATAACCACAACAAATCCGAGTGAGTATCATGCGCTCAGAAATCCAGTCCTGAAGAATTTTAAGAAGGCAAGTAAACAATGCAGCTCAAGGGGTATGCATGTTACGCGCAGGCTGGCTAGCTATCCATCCATTATCCACTCCATAATCCTTTTAATGACCAATCCAGGAAGTCATTAAGCAACGGCAAGGTTAGACGTTTTACTTTGTTGTCGGGACGAGCAGCCATTCGAGTACCCACTCATACGGTACCTATGTTCACGTAAAAGTTTACGCGAGGGGAAACTAAAGTACCACGTGCTAGCCCTGCATCACGCAAACGTCCATGCAAATACAGAGATATTATCTGCTGTTAATATTAAATGATATATTTATTATTATATTATACAATAATAAAAATACCATTTACTATTATTATTATCAGATCGCATATATGGGAAAATGTTGTGTTAGCAGCAAATATGCTGTTAACAGGCTGCCCCTAGCAAGCGCCAAGCATGTGGTTCCTCTGGGAATCGAACCCAGGACTCTCTGCTCTCTGCTTCCGAGGCAGGCGTACTAATCGCTACACTATGGAACCGACTAATGTCTTATCCTCTTTATAGATTTTTTATTAATATGTCAGAAACCATTCAATTTATGGATAAATATAGTCCAGTATCATCTGCATAACAATGGAAGTTTATATTACATTTACGGCTTTGCGGGGCCCCATTTGGCCCCCGGGGCTTTGTTTTT